TGAATTCTTACAAAAATAAGATGGGTGGGAAGGTGGTAAAAGGGGGATTTTTTTTTTTTTTTTGAGGGACTTTGCTAATCTAAATCACTAAAGTTAATAACTATGTTCCAGGGATGGGTTGGAGATGCTCTTAAATGTTTTCATTAGTGGCATGATTGTCAGAACAGTGTTTTGATGTGGATGGAGCAAAACTAGGTAGGATAATCATAAAGGAAGGACTGGATGCTCTTATGGGTAGGAGTAGGAGAAATGAGATGTAACAACATAGAATGAAAAATCTCATACTTGGGAACTAATTTCAAAAATTAGTTGAAGTCTTCTTAGTTGATTAAATTTGGCCCTTTGTCCCCTCCTTTCATTTTTATCAGCCTAGAATTCCCATGCAGAATTAAAGGGATGTCACTATGGACAAGACTAGTGACATTGTCAGATACAGGTGAAGTACTCTAAGTAGATGAGAGTATCAGTATTGTTGTTATAAAGCAAGAGTCAGGTGCTTGGAACACTGTACCATTCCCATCTCCTTCGTTTTTAAAGAACTTAAACTGTAATGAATGCTGACAGATGCTATGAGGCTGATGAGGGAGAATGGAAAACTCGCTTTTGAGAAAAGTTTATTTTTAAAAAAAGTTTTAGCTTGAGTAGTCTTGCAAAATGAAGGCTAGAAGATGATGCAACTACTTATAGAATGTATCAGGAGGGAAGAGTGAGTAAAAATATATACATGAAGGAAAAATTACTAAAATCAAAAGATTGTGCTGGAACAGCAACAAATAATTTGGTCATGAATTGACTTTAGACAAGAAATTTTAGAAAAATGGAGAAGTTAAGGAACAGTGTTCTGAACAGTGGGCAAGTAAGCAGGATTAAACAAAGCAGCACCCGCACCCCACCGTATCAATAAAAAAGAGTAACTGTTCTGTTAGAAACTTGCAACCTTGGCCTTTGAAGTTTCAGTCTTTGCCTTGTTGGTGTCCCCTTTCTCCAGCCCCTCTGATGCTTAATGTATTTTTCACTTTATGATTGCCCAAAGCTAGAGATGGATGGGGGTGTTGGCATGTCTGAGAAGCAGCCCGAGTAGCTGTTGCTTGCCCTCATCACACATCTGGTGGACAGCGAGAATGACAAGAGGATTCCATCCGCCTTCTCCTACCCCAGCCCGTTGTCTTTTGCTAAAGACCAGGTAAAATCACACTACAGATAGAACTGCTCTCAGTATAGTTCACTTCTTTGGATTGCTGCTGCCCTCTTCTGCTTGCTTCTCAGTAGCATGTGTAGTTTTTGATGCGTTGTACCAAAGGCCTTGCATCTGTTGTGGTGTGTTGTGGGAGATGTTCTCAGTGGATTCCTTCAAGACTAAACATTATTAGAGATTTGCTTGTGATGCGAGTTTAACTTAACTCAGTAGTTCGAAAGAAATAGGGGTAGATGGAAAGTCCCGTGAACCAATTGCAAATGCCCATCCCCACAAGCTCACCCACCTTGCAGCCGTGTGTGTGAGAGAAAAATACAGTTGTGCTGCAGCACAGCTAGTAGCTGTATTGCTGTATCTGATGGAGTGCAATGCCGTGGGTTTCTAGGGCTGGCCATGATGCAGAATTAGTTATATTCCGGACGGTGCTGTCATATTTGGTTGGTACTCTTCTGTATTTACTTCAAAGAGCTGTAAATAATCTGGAGTGCACGTGCTATGAGAAACAGTCTGTCAGCATTGAAGAAGCTGCCATTGTTCTGCCCGAGTTGCTGTAGAATGGACTTAGGCCAGCATGACTTGCAACGCTGTAGCACGTCTGTGTTAGGTCTTTGTACAGGTGCAAACCTGTGTGTACCTGTTACAGCCGTATGCCTCAGAAATGTGGGGCTTGAAACCTAGGTTTCTGATGCAACACTTTTCGGGTGAAGCAATTTCCTGTGTATAAAACTTGTGTAATTAAGTTTATTAAGAATTCTGGCACCCTGACAAATGGATATATGCATATTATAAGGCACAGGGAAAAGTGCTAGACTGAAGCCAGAGGATATAGGTGGAACTGAGGCACGGCCAGCTTTAAGGCGTGCTAAGAAGATAATACACAATTGCGTTTCCATTGTAGCTGCTACTCTATTTCTAGGCCAGGCTGCGTAGTTTCTGCCCAGCCTGCACTCTCGCAGCATGTCCGGCCGGTGGGGTCCCGGGGCCTTTCTTGCTGTGGCTGTATTCGACCAGGCGCAGTCAGAGGGTGCGGGAAGCCACTGTGCCCGCCCTGAGGGTTAGTGTAGCTGCCTGGGAGGAGTGGAGCGAGCAGCAGCACCACGGTGGGGGCTGGTGCCGAAGGCAGGGATGGGCAGCAGGAGCCAGGCGAGGGGGCAGGAGTGACTGCTCTTCATTTTCTCAGAAAATGTATGATCGTTTCAAGTCCTGAAGACTGCAACACATAAATTTCCCCTTCTCTCTAGAGGGACTGGACAAGGCATGGTGTTTCTCCTAGAACCCCTTAACTTCTAATACTCAGTTCTCTGTGATTTCTGATGCACTCAACCTACAGCATGTAGCAGCTGCAATACAATACAGATCTACTATTTCTTTTGTAAGTAGTGGTAAGCTTCTATGATGTTTGTTCTTTTGAGAACATAAACCTTTATTTCAAAACAAGAATAAAATAAAAATGTGTTCTGATTTGTGACAAAAGTTCCTCTCCTTTCTTCATATATGCTCAAATGCTACTCTAACAGAAGAGATCATAGGCAAGAGAGAATTCCTGGCTCTAGCAAGAAATTTCATGTATTCTTGGAATAAACTTTCACTGAAGCAAAATAATTTGCAAGAATAGATCATCTCCTTAGTCTAGTCTACCCTTGATTGGTTTAGTGTGGACTTAGTAGTGTAGGTTAATGGTTGGACTGGATGATCTTAAAGGGCTTTTCCAACCTAAACGATGCTATGATTCTATGATCCTCAATCAATTTTTAAGTATTTTATAACTAAAGGAACACTGTTCTCACTTCCAAACCCAGGTGTATGTTGTATATCTATTTATGCAGTATTTATGTTGATAAACTGCGCGTTCTTTCTTGTGAGTATCAACAGTTATGAAAGCTTTTATTTGCCTCAACAGTAACTGAAGTAAGATTTGCATGGCAGGTTGGTATAATTGGCATGAATGAAGAGAAGCTCTTAGATATAGTGACAGGCACTTCTGCATATTGACTAAGAGCAAACATCCCTACTAATGGTTGATAGCATCCAGAAGTCAGTCAGGATGAATGAATTGGGACTGGAGAATGCGCGTCAGCTTCTCAAGACTGTGACCCTGAACAAGACCGTTGCCTTGTATATTCCTGGTTTTTTGACCAATTAATGATGATGATGTGGTAGGGACGTCTCTGAGCATGTTTACAAATAGCACCTAGATCTGAACCTTCTTGCTGCGCTGGCTGAAGTGTATAAATTGGGTCATTCCAAGGATGCTTTGCTAAGAGCAGCTAAGGTCTTTCTAAACAACTTGCACATGGAAAAAATCAGAAATGTTGCAGTCTCAGATACTCTGTGCATGTGTAGCTATACATACTGGAGTTATAGTTCTCATTTTTTTTCTTGTCTTCCTTAGATAAGTTCACCTCTACTGGGAGGGTGGAGACATGAAATTCGTAGTGTTATTTAGCAAGTTTTTAGGGGCTGAGGGGCAGTGTCACAGATGGAGTGACTAAAATTATCTGCCACTTGGAGGAAGGTGGAGGATTTCTCATAGCAGGCCTTGTAGTCTATAAAGGCTATATACATTTACGAGGGCAGCGCATGGCACACTACCATGCTGTGGCTGGCTAGTACTATCAGGGCTACACAAACAGCAAAAGCTTTACTTGCACATTCCTCATGGAGTGGCACTGCCTAGCAGTCCTTCCCCTCTGTCCTGATGGTGTAACTGACACACATCACACGATCAAGGAAGTAGCTGTGATCTCAGACGGAAACTTGCCCCCCTACAACACAAAGCAGGCGCACCCTTCCCAAGCAAAAGCATACATATAGCCTACGCTGTGCTCCTGGCTTGGCTCCTGAGAAGACAGACAAAATAAGGGCTTTGCTGCAAGTCCAACTCAGCATGAAGTGAAAACAGAGCACATCACGTATATTTTCTTTATTGCTGGCCTTTTTTTTTTTGTTTGGCTGGTTTTAGTAAGTAGGCATGATTCCTTAAAGGCTGAGGATTTTAATAACAGTAAGGTTTTTCAGGTTTCTTTTTTTTTTTTTTGCTGTGGACAAAAAGATACCTTTGATTGAAGTTTTGCCTTATATTACAGTATTTCTGTACAAAAATAAAAGTCCAAAATCAGCTTATTATTAGCTGATATTCCCCAATTTATTTACAGGGTACTGTCAAGAACCTTCATCAGGCAACCCGGCAAAATAGCGAACTCTATATAAAAGCAGTTGCATTGTATAACGTTGCGTTCTCTAGTCAACTCTGAAGGGCTCTGACCTTTGGCAGTCAGTCTGGGTTGGAGATAAAAGAGCGATGTCTTTAAAAGAAAAAATTAATATTAAAAACGTAAGCTGACATTATGGAGTATTAAACTGATAACTGTATTTCCATATTAGGGTAGTCTATAAATATTCTCAGCTACATCTCTCTTTATAATACAGCAGGTACAGAATGCAGACTTCTGCTACTTATATGGTAATACATATTTGCAATAGTAAAATCAATGTATGAAAATTTTGGAATTTACTTACTTGTTAATAAAACTGCTTATAAAGTAACCATACAATTGTAACAACTATAACTCTGAACTATTAAAATGTACAGAAAGACTGTTTACACCATTGCACATACTTATTCCCTTTGCTTCAAAAGACTTGTGAAATACAGAATAAAATTAGTCAAATTTTACTGACAGCTCAAATACGCATGCACAATGTGCACATCCATGGAAGCAAGGGGAAACAAAATGTCGGCGTCCATCAGGAAGGCTGCCAGCAGCTCTCCAAAAAAAATACACCTTGGTCTTCTTCCCTCCCCCTTCCCACATGTATACAGGCCAGTAGATTAGTGCAGAATTGATGAATATAACTTTGTTTTCAGTGTTCTGGAAGGACAAAAAAATCCTCTTGACTTTTATCAGCAATTTTAGGTCGATACAAATTGGGTTTAATATTGTAAGGCACTTATTACTGCTTGTATTGCAGTGGATCAAGTCTTAAGGCATTTGTTACATCAACTGAAGATAATAATGCTTTGGAAAGTTTTGAACGAGCCAGCAGTTCTAGTATGTGACTATTTCAGCTGATTTTCCCCTCCCCACCCTGTGGTCTTTCTAAAAGAATGCTTGAAGATATTTTCCGTGGAAACTCTGGTTCTTTGTAGCTTGTCAACAGATGGGATCGGTATCATCAGGTCATTTTGAGGCCAAGCAGCGATACGTTCTATTTAGAGCACAGTAGAACTGGTTTTGTTTTCACCTGGAGCTGCCCTGACTTCCATGACTACTCACTGATCGAGAGGTGCTGTAGCGTTTTTTCACAATCATACTGATGTAAGCTTTCATCAGCTTTGCAATGTCAACCACCTGCCAAAACAGTATAAAGAGCAAAGTTCTTAGTAAGGTAACAGCATGCGAATGAATTTCTTTAGATGCTAACAATATAAAGCTGTCAAGCTTTCAACAAATCCCTTTTGCAGTTAAACAAACAAAAACACTCAGCACTTCTACCCATCTCACTACGTCTTCCCTTCAGCTTTACAGGGAACGTGAATAAATCTGTAACATTTGCAGCAATTACTTAAATTACTAAGTAGCCTGGCTATCAGAACAGGAAGACCACAATAACAAAATTCCTTCTTGCTCTTACCTCACTAGTTTCAAAAAGCAGTTCTCTCTCATCCACCACAATCTTGTAGGTGTTGGCAAGCGGTGCACCAAATGACAAGATGTGTTCATACTGAAACACCTCCAGAGGCCTGCCTTCCCCACGCTTGTAGACAGAAACTGCATCAGCGCTGACTCCAAGCCACAACTCTTGTGGGAATCCCCCTTCTTTACACTAGAGGAAAAAATGCAGATTAACAGCAAAGGGAACAGTGGGAGCCACACAACACTTACTGTTGAGGTTCTTGTCTGTAACTGTTTTTTAAAAAGTGCATATTGCTTGTCCCTCTTTGAACGTAGCTTTTTACACCTCTCCTAAACTTGTTTAGGAGCAACCCATCAGGCTAGCATTCTGTCCCTCTGTATTTCATGGTTAACTAGTGGATTTAAATGGCTACAGTGCTTGCTAATGGGAGTATGCTTTTACTATCTAACACTTTACTACATCAGCTGTCTGAGCATTGTGATACTGTATTTATGGTTTCCCTGCTCTGTAATGAAACCATCATCTATAGATGTGGTTCCCTCGATACATCTATAGATAACAATATAAACTGTAGTTCCGAGTGTTCAGGAGGTTGTACTCACCTCTACATCAAATAGTGTTGAGCCATAGCCAGGCCATTCCTTAATCAAAGCCATATACTTGGCCATAGCCTGCTCCTGGTTCATCCTCTGGAGTTTTTTCCATTTGTCAATAATACTAGTCCTGGAAGCTGAGATTTCCTCTTTGACCCACATGTCTAACATCTGATCCTCCTCAACCTTCTGTTTGCTGACAGAGCCACTGCGAAAACTCCTCCGCAATGTTCCTTCAAGAAAGCTGGCTCGTTTCTTCTCAGCCTTCTCTGCTGCAGTAAATGTTTTGGTAGACTGTGTAATCCGAGACTTCAGCTTTTGCAAGGGATAGACTTCCTCCATTTCTGGTACGGTGGTATGCAGAGTGTAATCTCCCTGAAGGTACTGGAGACGCAAAGCTGCAAGGACCTGGAGGGTTTCTTCAGGAGCGGGATAATGTCCTCTAATCACAGCTTCATGAGCCTATCAAGGGGAAAAAGGTAGCTTTTTATGTACAAACCGGTCTTTGAAAGGACTCAGAGAGAAACGGGAAGTCAATTTACTGGCAGGCAAACCCAGGATCTGAAATAAATGATCCATTAAATAAATCAATTGTGGTCAATCTCTTGGCAAATCTGTTAAACTGGGTAAGACAGGGTTTACCAGAAGGACTGCAAGGCAACTGAGGAACTTGCTAAACGGGATTTACTGTTACTAGCACAGCTCTTAGTGAACTCACACATATAAGAACAACTGAATTACTGAAAAGGAAAATAAAATGTAAAATGGGAGGAAATCAGGATCTAAACACCTGATTGGGAGGAAGCCATCTATGTTCGAGGGCATTAGGAAGAAATGGCTATCTAGTTTTGCTTACTGCTACCAACAGCCTGGCTGTGAAAACTGACGTTTCCAGCCAAACAAGCAAAGCCCTAGGACAGCGTTGTAATAAACCTCACTGAGGGAAAACAGTAGGTCTTCAATGGATCCCAGATAAAGTTAGTAAAACGTTTATATGTTACAGTGGTCTGTAGCATCAGGGATGAGATTCTGAACCAAGACGACTCCTTCAAATCCTAGCTCTTTGCACACCCATTCAAACCTTTGGAAGTGTGCAGCAGCTAGGATTTTTTTTTTCATATGACACTAATACAGGAAACAAACATGCCTCATGTCTGGAGATGCAGGAATTTCAAGCAGTTTAGTAAACACACAGAGAGAATTCACATCTAAGAGCTAATTAATTTAGGTGTACACTTAGGATGGAGACAAAATGTGCTTTTAAACATGCAAGATGGTTTCCCTGAGATTGTACACATGTAGAAGAAAGAGCTGTCTTGTGGAAGGACAGTATTTTAATGAGAAAGAAGAACTACAAGATTTTCTTCAGCGCCTTATGAATTAAAGGATTCACACTTTAAAATAATGGAGATTACAGAACTAAAACTGATGACTAAAGGTAACTGCCTTAATTGGCTGAAAAAAGTCGATGACCGACATCAAAAGCAGACAATTAGGAAAAAAAGAACAGAACTGATGTTAGAATGTACTAAGTCACCTCTTTAAGGTATTGCTGTACTAGTCATTGTAGGGACTGAATGTGCCATGCTTTATAACTGAAATACTATTGGTCTTGGCCAGACCTACGATATTTGGCTAAACACCAGTCAGCACAGAATGCTGCATGAAAACAATCTGCTTCAGCGAATGTGCTTGTTTTAGTTGTTCATACGGAAAACTATCTAAATCTGCCTCTTAAACCTATAATGTAATGTAAAATATCTGATGCAGAGCTCTCACGGATTTTCTTCTTACTGTTTAAACTTCATCCCAAAGCAGAGGCATTAACTGGCTGACTCCTCTGTATGTAAAACCAGACAGACAGTCAGAATGGCAACGTCTCTAAGCCCAACCAAGGCAATCTATTGCCCAGGTCCTTCAGCCAGCAATAAGCAGTTCTGGATTGAGCTACAGTAGTAAGCTCTGGAAGAAGACTTTTGGTAGAGTCATGATGTAATATGGTGCCTTAAAACCTAAACTGTGAACAAGGAAGAAATACTCTATTACAGTGAAGATGTTTCTGATCCTGTGGGAGGAGAAAAAGCTTCATACATATGAAAATTGAAATATGTCAGTTCTTGATCACATCAGGCTTGCTTAACAACAGAACATCAGCATCTTGGCATTGCAAATAGCCTTACACAGAAGCCTTTATCCGTCTCTAGTGCCCACTTGAAAGAAGCTGTCCACTGGAAGAATTTTTAGCCATTTGCAATATAGTAGAAAAGGAGGAGGTCAATCAACAAAAATAAATGCCATCAGTGAGAGTTTCTGAGCAACTACAGGACTTCATATAATAGAAATCCAACTGCTGACGCATTTAATTTTCATTATAAATCCATTTCACTTATTTAATGTTTTGCAATATGGCCTCATTCTGAGCTCAGCACATTCATTAAGTGGATTTCTGCTCATCATAGCTGTGTTACGGTTACTGCTGAGACTGGACTGATTTTACTGTGGTGCCTATGAAACACCAATCAGTTTTTAAAAAGAGAAAAGGCTATTGTTCAATTAGTTCTGTACAGTTGCCAACATGGGTCTCTAATGCTTGTCAATTACACATTTTTCACTTGATTTCTTGCACTTCCTTAAGAAAATGGTTTCATAAGACCAAAATTAAAAGCAAGTATTACCCTTTTCTTTGTTATCCAGCTTAGACACAGTTATCCAGTTTTTTACCACTATACATAAAGCAATTCACAAGTAATGCAGAAGTAAGAAAAGTCATAACACAAGGTAAATCATATGTGCTTCACTTAACACCAGGATAAGCCTATTTTGACCACTGAATTACTTTCTTTGCACTGGATGCTTGAGTAGTAGTGCATTTAGTTAAACAGAAGCATAATCAAAACACTCTCTGTGCTGCCTAGATCTCTTGCTTTTTTCCTCCTCTTGAAAGTACCTCAAAATGGAACCCTTGTTCTTTACCTGCTCAAACATAAAGGCAAATTCCACACTATCTTTTGGGACGTTTTCTGTGTCCAAGAAGCAGTAGAGCTTGAAGTAGAACTTCCAGTGCATCTCTCCAGCTTCAGCAGTGGCAGCAAGCCTGCACGGGTATGTGAAGAGGGAGAAAGAGATCAGATCTGTGAAATCAAACTCCTTTCTAAATTGACACCTGAAGAATCTAAGCAAGGCATCAGCTGACTTGTACTTTGTTACACTTGCTGTCGATCTGGTATTGTTGACAGGAGCTAATTGTTTTCAGCAGTAGACCTGACTGATGTCATTTGGGGTGCACGGCAGGAAGAGGTGTGTGTATTTAGAGCCTAGAGCAAAATCAAGGACTTAAAAATGTCGACTCAGTTCTCAGTCAACTGTTTCTAAGCCAAATTCTCTTAATAAACTTATATTTGTGGCTCAGTCAGGTGTTGATAAAAGCAACATTATTAAGTCCTGTTATAAAATGTAATTGCACAACACTTTAGACATTCCTTTTTTTGCCCCGTTATTGTGTGGATAAAGGAGGCTGATTGCCATGTATATAACATAAGGATGACAAATGGGTATTTAGGCTTGTATTACATTTTATTCCTGTGGTGCTATGGGTGGTTTCAATCTTACTGGTAAGAAAATGTTGTGGCTGCACTGTGGTGACTTCCACATGAAGCTAGGCAATGGGTAGTCAGAATGGCAATGACTGCCTGGAGTTCAGTTCTCCCAGTACTGGGGCAGCCACAATGCTGGTAATGGTGGAAAAATTTGTAGTAGTGGAAAAGAAAATGTGGAAATAGTGATGAGAAATATTACTCTACTGGTGTTGAGACAGAGGAAAACCAAACACAAGTGAATAGGTGGCTCATTAATTCCTTTAAGAAAAAAAAAGAGTGAAGATGCTTTTGTTCCAGAACTGGCCATGTGTGTAAGTCAGCTGCATCCTCACAAACAAGCAAGAGAAAGTTCAGCATTATTGACATTGGAAATTTATTTAATTGCTACTTATTAGAGTGGTGAGAGAGAAGGAGAAGTGCACTCACTTTTCAAACTTTGCCAAGACATCAGCCACAATGGTTCTGCTTTCAATTGCTTTATCAGTAGTTCCATTGTATTCAAACAAAGCAAACATATTTCTGCTATCCTCCATGGCCAAGCCACGAATTAACTTTTCCACCACCTAATGAAAAACAGCACATGAAAAAAACATAGCATGGAAAAGCAGCACCACAGACTAAGACAAATAATTAGAAGAAAATTCAGAGCTAATTCAGTCTAACATTAGACTAAAAATGTTGCTAACATGTCATCATCAGCAGTATTAATTGTTGTCAAATCCCACTTTAATTTTTATACTAAATAATGCTGATTCTTTTAGAATATGTGTGTGCTGTCACCTGGGCAGATATAACCCCTGTATTCTACCAACTCAGCAAGAGTCTTCCAGCTTTAGGAAGCAACTTGGTTCTCAAAAACACATGTATCTACTGAAGTCATTCCTATAATGCCTCTACAGAATTGGTTAGTCTTTCCTGTAATTTTTCCTGTAAGAGGGAACTATAGTTGGGTAATCCTCTGAAGAATAAAGACAGTTTCTATAGCAGGGATTTCTTCAGAACACGCTGAGGGGTTGGAGGGAGAGCTCTGTAAGCTTTCCCGCCCCTGAAAGGAGAGACCAGTGGAGAAAACCCCCGTGCTTCCGAAGTTTAACACTGCTACTAGCTGGAACTGGCACGTAAAGGGACACACTGATTTTGTGCCAAAGCCATTCTGTCACCACTGCTCACCTCTCCAGCTGTAGTGTGCGAGTTGATTGTAATCTTACAGGAGCCCCCACCATGGCAATAAACCGTGGATGTCATTTCCTGCCTGCTGATCAGAGCTTCTATTTCATCCCGCGATGGCACAAACTCTCTGCATTTGGTTTTCTTCAGGGATTCATAAGTAAAAAGTGCATATTTCTCCATTTCAGTTCCTGGGAACTGGTCACGAATCCTGTGAGATAAATATTATTACTTTAAGCTGCCAGTCTGTGAAACAGAAAGTTTACTTATTTGAGAATGGATTTTTTTCCTGAGTACTTATGTATCCAGTAAGCTATTTCATTGACATGCTCAAAGGTTTATCTTCACTGTCAAGGAAAGTGTACTAACTTGTGAGTTACTGTGGGACAACTTACATGTGTTCATCATTTTATTCTACAAACCTAATGGAAAGCAAAAACTGAACTACCATTATAGCATTAACTACCTTGTAATGACTCAGATTTGACAGGAAGTAACTGTAAAAATGTTCTTGTAATCAACGCCCCTTTTTGTCAATAACTGTTGTTGAATGAATACAAAACTGCACTAAGGTACTTCAGAAAAAAGCAATAAAATGAATTTTTGACTGCCCAGTTTTGTGGTAGTGTCAGTTGGGATACTTGATTTCTATTCCTGATTTTCTTAAAGATTCTCTCCAGACCTTACTGCTCAGCAGTTAGTATTATGAGTATTCACTAACAACTTTAATGAACTCAACTCTTAATTACTGAAAACTCTTGAATTCAGGTAGCTTTCAGCACGGAGTGTTTCTGTAGTATTTCCAGTGATAAAATACCAGCTGCTTAGAGCTACTACAGTTTAATTTATGTGAAGAAGTACAGTGATGTGTGATCTGCAAGGCATAAAAAGATTACTGCAGGATTACAGCAATGCTTTAAGATGACTATGCATCTGTAATACTGAAACCAACCTACAAATGTTCTATCAGCTGCAATTTTTTTAACTGGGAGACCAGTTTATGAACTGAGTTAAACTGAGAAAGTGAATCACTGTTGGATTTTTTCATTTTAACAATTATATAAAGTGGTTGATGTATTTCACTAATCTTACTTTGGCTGAAAGGTGTATCTTCAATAGAAGCATTTTACAAATATTTATAAAATAATTACATTTAGGAAAGTGATTTACAAAGTCCACGCTCCAGGACAAACACAGACATGATTTCTAAATTACTGAGAACAGTTTGTTGTTAGTGGACTAACTTTCCTAATGATTTTGGATTCTTCTGCTGCATGATAACAGCAAGAGGAACTCTACATTCTGGTTAGCACTGAACCGTCAAAAAGGTTCAAAAATTTTTTTAATGGTCACTAATGTCTTAAAATTAGATTTTGCAAACAGACATTTGACATCAAATACATCTTTAAAATTCTAATGTTCTTTTATGTGCACAATGCATACTTCACAAAACTAAGGTAAGCAGGATGAAGAATTTTTAACAGGTTGGACAGTTGAGAATGGGACCTGGGGGTACCGGCTGCAAGTCATTTAAGCAGCTTTACACAATCACAGAAAGCCCCCACACTGGTCAATGTTAACAAATTATGCATTCAGTTTAGTGGGGTTTTGCTTGATTCTTCAAATGAGAATAAACCCATACACGCTTTACTTACAACATTTTTTTTTTTAGATTCATTGTTTCGCATGACCAGTTCACTAAGTGAATGCATCTTCACGTCTCATTTCAGGATGTTTAAACACTGTTACAAGTTGTGGGGGAGAAAACAGTGAGTTAAGAAACTTCTTTTCTTGTTCTACTAGTTCAAAGCTTCTTACCTTTTCAGATGGAACTTAAGATATTTGAGGATGCTGCGACTTGGCAGAAATGTGCAACTCATGCAGGTGAGTATTTGCCAACTGTACAGGTTCCCCACGCTCCCAGGGTTAGGCACTTTATTGGTCTGCTTGATGAGCTGACAGTAGAGCTCATCTCGAAGAGGTCGTAAATCGTGTCCTGTTTGGAGGATACCTTGGATTATAGGGATGGGATCAGACATAGACTCCAGCTGCTGTAAAGAGTTAAATATCTTGATGGCTTCATCCTGCAGAGTTGTGTAGCCTTTGTCTTGCAGCACTACAAAAGAAAAACAGGGAGAAAGGTGCTTAGATGGAGATATGAAAGAGAAAGTACTCAGGGTTAACATAGGAATTGCTTAATGCTATTCTGTGACCCTTATTATGCAGGATATTAGAATGGATTTTTTCCCTTTCAAATGTATGATGCAAACTCATTTTATGAGCTATGTTGCTATTGAGATTTGATAAGAATTTAATGAAATCCCATTTTGACATTCTCTGACAACATAACTTAAAATGTGTATCGTGCTTCATCAGAGGTTTTTTGATGGAGAATCTTCCTTCCAGAGCAATCCACACTGCTGAAGTGTCTATCACTTTTCGCTGTCACAAGAACAAGAAAATCTAATCAGAGCATATGTGAGGTAAAGCACAACTGCATTATGGAAAGTGACAAAGATACATGGCATCACTTTTGTCTACAGCAGTAGTATTTCAATTAAACCCAAACAATACTACTAAACTAAATCATTGCTATGAAACTGCAACTTGCTTTTTGAGTGCTGGAAAAGGTGGCGATTGTTTTTGTACTACAGGTTATTCAGCGTGGGCTAACAACTTTCACAATCTTCTTAAAAGCACCATGCAGTTCTTGGGTTCAAGAGATGGAAGAGATTGCTCTGATGTCTGAATCAGTTTGGCCTACTAACCATCAAAGCCCAACACAGTACAGACATATGTTATGAATATGAAATTTCTAACCTGACATTATACTATTACAGAAAATAACTAAACTCAACTGCAAGTCAAGGCAATAACTGAGCATCAGTCCATCTGTGGAGCTACATTTAGTACGGGAAGACTTTGGCAAGACTTCTGCCTCAGAGGGAGCTAGCCATTCCTGTCCATGGGGAATAGAGAGCAACCATGCTGCACTCCTGCATGGGACAACCAGCTCAAGAGGAGGAGGGGGAAGAGAAGGGAAAGGTTTCTCCTAGGATCCTCCTTTTCCTTGTCATTTGGGCAGAAGGATGTAACTTGAGTTATCAGGAAGTCTTACCTGAAATACCTTAGCTCTTAATCACCTGTGACCTCCCACCCTCCTCCCAAGGATGAAACTTCTGGTCAGAGTCATATCTTGTTTAATGCACAGTTGCAAAATAGGATAAGCAAATCCATTTAAATTCTCAATCATCAACAGCTCTGAACCATTCATTCAAAACAGACTGCTAAGTTAGTGATTGAGCCAAGGGTATTAAAAGACATGATTACACCTGTTTCGGGAGTAAATGACCCATTACTTTTTATAATAATGTCCACTCAAATCTTGTTTCACATAAATAATGCTTCCCATCACAACTGATGAAACTTACACTTATTAATTGGAAGTTGTGGCTGCTGCAGCTCCCCTCATGAGGTAGGAAGCAACAGTAATTTAAGAAGGAGAATAGGATTGAAGCAGACTAAATGAATAGGGTTTAGCTGCTTATTTCAGTGCAAGGTTTTTCAAACTCGGTGGTCTTAACTGCATCGGTGAGGGCAACGAACTTGTATAACAGCAGCAATAGCAACCTTCCCTTCCCTAACATCCGTGCAGGAGCACCACAAGCCCATGGCTCTATGCTAGACAAACTGCTGTGCTCCACCTCCCAAAAGAGAACAGGGAAATGTGTCTATTTGTATTATAAAAATATATTTTGCCTACCATTACTTCACTATAGCCCACTGACTAAAAAATCCCATCCTCTGGTTTAGCCTTTCATAAAGAAAAGTGTTTCTATGACTGAAAAACTTACAGTTTAGATTGATGTCCCCATACGGCAGTGGCAGTAATGGCGAGTGCAACGGATGATGAGTGTAACGGAGAATGGGGTTTCTCTTATAAATCTGTTCAACCACATCAGCATTCAGGCAGTTTTCCTATTGGGGGAAGAAAAAAGGCAGGATTTAGATTCCAGCATTAAAAATAATGCAATGCTTTGTGCCTTTAGGTTGGCTGTGACAATATTAGTCATCAGCGTCACCAACACTATTTGGTGCTAAATCAGTTGTGGGTACTGTGGCTCCCATAGCACTCTGTGGGCTACGAATGCTCAGTATCTGCTAACCTCAGAGCTTGCATAAGCTTACTTTATCTGTGCAGTGAAAAACAAACCACAGCAGAGATGCAGGAGACAAAAATGAAGTTTCATGAAATCTTTTGAAGCGTGTTTTCATTTTACAATCGTTTTTACTCCAGTATTTCATAACTGGAATTAAGACATCTGTATTCAAGTTTTATTTAAAAATGTTTCTTCAGCATAACTAATTGACCTTTTCAGTTAGAATCTAAGGGAGCTACCACAACAAAACAGTCCAGAAAAACTGCTGCTGTAAAGCTGATGCACCTACTCTGACACGTAAACACTGTTCTTTCTTAGGCCAAGTTTGACAGATGCGTGACCACTGTCTTCTATCAATCCTGAACTTCCACATATTTCTACTGCCCTGAAGAACAGCCTTCATGGTCTTGGAATTTAGGACCTTTCTTTTTTTTTTTGTGTCTCTTCTGAGAATCATTGTCCTCTCTCCTGAAAGCAGATTAGCAAAATCTCCAGAAATACATTGTCTGGCTATGCATGCAATGTCTCTAACAGGACCACATAAAGCCGTAAGCATTAATTGAATATGTTTCTTGCCATGCAGAAACATGAAATGTTTAGCCTGTACTATCACAGAACAAGAAATGATACATAATGAAAAAAAATTGCAGGAGCTGGCTAGTACACATCCTGGTGTGCTGCTCACTGTGGACACAGCCAAACAGGTCTGCTAACTCGTGAACCTGCACACTGCGCTCTACTGCCTGGTATAGCAACATCTGTTAAGTTACACAAACCAGTAAAACTTGTTACTGTTTTCCTGGAAAAAGTTATCCCTCTTGCCCTCCAAGCTGCACTTCATACTCTGCTCTTTTACTGTTTAGACAGAAATTCCTTTATCAGGTCAGTGAATACATTCAGGTTCCACGATTTCAGTCCATGTCACTGTGTGATTAAAACTCACATTCTCTGCTGTATTACCCCATATGGCAAAGCCAACATAAAAAAGAGACTGATTTCAAATATTTAAGCAGCCATTCTTTCCCACCCCACGCCCTCCTGTTTGAGCCTACCTTAATATCCTGAATAAGTTGCTGAGTTGGAGTATCAATTGGTGCTTTTGTGTCAATCACATTCTGGATGGCACTTGACCAGCGGGTCGCCTCATTAAGCAATTTTGTATAGAGACGGTAACAATGTTTGCGTCCATATACAGTTACATTCCAATAACCTAGCACAACAGTAAAAATTATTAATCATAGAAGCTGTATCTATAAAAATACCTCAACATCTATCTGAAAACAGCTGCAGTCCCATCAGACCCCGAGTGCTGCCTTCTGGATCATGCTGGCAGTTTTGCAGGAACTAAGAAGTTGTACGAGTAATTAAGTACCATAATACAGATACTATGGTATTAAAAGTGATTCTCTCATTTAAAAAAGCCTAGGAGTAATCTCAGGGTACAACTACCATCACGCAGCCTTGCATTTTATCCAGTATCTTAGTAAAAGTGACCATAAGACAACACTATGGAATACTGTTAGCTATTTGTGGCGTGTGGGCCCTACTTCTCCAGTCCTGTCTGTAACAGGAAAATCTGAGACAGTCTTGCTTTGTATGCGAGAGTCTTTCATTGTCTGTGGTACACGTACAAACAGGTTTAAAGAACTACCTCTTCTGTAAAAAAGTCATTAATTTCACACCAGTGAAGTGGCAACTATGACAGGAAGAGCATTTCAGTTCAATTTCTCTCTCTGCATCATTGTATAGGCTTTTTATGAAGCAGATTCAATTAAAGAAAGTCTACTTCATCTTTCACTAGCGAAAGCCTCTTTGAAGTGTCACTGACCCCAATGAGATTACATAGGGCTGTCAACAGTCGCTTCTCATTTGTAAACGGCCACTTCCAAGTTGAAAACCAGTTTAGAAAATGCACAGGGGAGCTGACTCAGATGTAGTATGTAGGTTAGCACAAACTGGACTCTTACTCTAGATCTCCCTATACTTGCTCCACCAATGTTAGTCCTCATACTTCCTCTGCACATAAAATAATGTATGAGGAGAGTGCTACCCATATGTCTTTCCTCAGGTCTTTGATGTGTAAGCGTAAGTGTTCACACAAACTTAGCAGCAGTGTGAGTCTACAATAACTTGAATGTTGGCGAGAACAAGATTTACTCCTGTATACATTATTACCTCTGTTTTTTGCCCAGTAATTCCCTGTAAAATGCCTCAGTGACTTAGGAACTCGATTTGTTCAAACTGCAACCATAATAATCCATTTAAAATGTTCTTATGCACTGTTGGTTGCATTACTAGGTAGTAGGACAGAAGGCAACTGAAAGCATATTTGAACAAGAGCAAACAATTACCTGTCTCTTTGAAGATTTTTTCATCGGGTGGGACCACCGAGCAGAGGCTGTTCAGGACCAGTGTACCCAATTTCAAAGCATTTTTCTCCGAACTCTTGTAGTAGTCCAAAGAATTGTGCGTCAAAACAAACCAACGCTTCTTTAGTTTCAGTGAAGACATCTTTGGGTTGTTCTTTACTTCCTTGTGTAGCCATCCTGTTAAAGACACAATTTGAATCACTTTTTTTTTTTTTTTTAAACAGAGTTGGACAAAATTAGGTTGTTAAAAGTTAGTTGTACACTTTCAACAGCAACAAAAATATGATGTGAATTGTTTAGCCCACATATTAAACAACTCTGAGTAAAGTCTCAAACAATGAAATGATGAAGATATCATAAAATTAAATATGAAAACTTTTCAACTTTGTTGTTTACCTAGAAAAATTCTTTTGTCAACTTACAAAATAGCTTTTGTCATCATTACAGTGTTTTCTTACATGGCCTAGCAGGAGTATAATTACAGCTGTATTAATTTGTGACTAAACACCACCGTACAAAGATGAGGCTCCAACACTGCCATGCAATGCTAGTATATTACTCAGATTGTATTGTGGGAACAATCTCTTCGAAGCTTCATGGATGTTAATTACTTTGTTACTGCCCCACTCCGTTCTTACCCCTCACAATGAATTCTTGTCCTTCCACTCTAGTGTCCCCCTTCGACCTTTGGAGAAGGGTTATCCAGTGATGCATCTCTTCAGGAGTGTCAGCATTACAGTGAAGAACACGATTAGCAGTGATGATCACAAATGAATTGGGTCTATGAAAATAAATGAAAATTGAAAAAGCCTTTACAATCAACATATATACTGTTTACCTCACTCGCTATAACCACAAACACTCTCCATTGTTTGCATGTTCTATTCAGACAAATACAGTCCACCTCTAAAGCATTTATTTCAACACCAGTAAACCTAAAAAAATTTAAGCATTTGAAAAGGCTCAGTTATGTTGGATTCACACCAGTATGTTAGGGTTCTGAATGGTGGGAAAGTTTACATTAAATTGCAACTTGTCCCATCTCAAAATAAATCTATGGCAGAAAAACCGTCCAATCTTTAATCAGCTTTGGATGTGAATCGGAACTCTATTTCAGGGTCAGATCTATTTAGCGTGTCTGCTTCAGTAGTTACATTAGCTAAAACGAACTACAATTTACAAAGGTCTATAGCGAAGCAGCATGTGAACACAGATTCTTTTATTTTTAATGCAGTGCAACCCAATTTGCAGAGAGTACAATCTATTTTTAATGAGAGTCTGGCTTTTACCCAATCCTACACCAGGATTCACTGAAGCATGAAGAACCAGCCCAAGTGAACTGTGCTGATGGCTGTCTGGATTAGAAAGGCAAGGTTTTCAGCCTACAAACATTTGCTTTAACCCTTTACCAGTAATTTTTTTATCCCAGAACACACACGGTTTTTAAGAACTGTATCAGATGTAGAAAATGGGAACGATGCCGTCTGGGCCACCCCATGCACGAGAAGCTCAAGGGCCTTCCTTTTACAGTTCTTGCAAGAAGGTAACCGGACAGAAAATAGAACCAATCAAAAAATTGTTTATGGGGATGGAGAGGTTCGCCCAAGTACGATACCATTCTCCAAAAACAGTGTGTGCCATGTAAAAGCTAGATGGATGACAGGATAAAGAAAAAAGTAAATAAAATTATTAAGAGGAAAAATTAGAAAACTGTGTGAAGTGAGGTTACAGTAAATCAAGTAACATGAGAAGTGGGTAAATTACCTTAAAAGTTATCTAAGAGTTACCTACAGCTCATGCTCACCAGTGCCATAGAAGGGAGTAAGGGATTGATCAGAATCCAACATTTTGGTCACGCTCACTGTGGTGCTGAAGTGGTGCATTATTCAGGAGGAGTGGTGGATGGGGAAACAAGTGGGCATGTGAACTGAACAGAAGGATTTTGTGGACTGTGTTTTAAAAGGTGTGAAGAGGAGGCAGCTTTAGATTGAGCTACATGAAGCACACTCTAGAAAGCTGGATAATGTGATATACAGGACAGAAGCTATAGAAGAGCTGTAGCAAGAGAACTGAAAAAGGAGAGCGCTAAGGTATAAACTAAGGTAGATAAAGCTATCAAACAGGAGATTATGATCAACAGTAGGCAACCTTCCAGGCTTCCCCCTCTTCCTCCCCAGTTTAGGAAAATAACGGAAACCCCATTCTTGGGATTCTTTCTGAATACAGATTCAAAGGGCGCTCTGCTCACCTTCTCTCTTTTGAGCTTGCAATAGTGGGTTCATATGTGTCAAGATAAAAATAATCTATTCCCTGTATTAGTCAAATTCTTTGCCTAACTGAAAAACCTTCCATCACTGATTTAGACTCCGAGAACTGTGAGGTGGGAGGGGGGAAGGAAAAAAATCTGTGTGAAAAATGCTTACAGGAGAAATGCCTTTCTGACTTAACATTTTGAAAGTGCTGGACATTTTTGTTGTATCATTTAGGAAACCTGGGCTTATAATCACAGTTACTTGTGGTATCAGTGCCTTGGCAGGCCAAGGACAAACCAGTAACTTCAACCCAGCTGTTTCACACATGTGCAATGAGACTGGAATGAACTCTTACAGTACAAATAATACCTCACAGCCAGTAACCCTATCACCAGAGTCATAGCCTGAACCCAGATTACTTTTTATCTCCTAAAATGCTGTTACTTGTTCAAGAACTAAGAATATCCTGACGGTTATTTTTGATGCCGCATTGTCTTTGTTATAAGAGATTTTTATTCTGGGAAATAATTCTCATCCCTGTAGAAAGAAAAGTCACCAGGCATGGTTCTTACTTACCTGTCTGGATTGTCAGCTGCACAGACAGAATCAATTAGTCCCACATCGAGCGTACCCTATAAACAAATATCCAACCAGAAGAGGAGGAAGACATTTACTATTACATTACTCACAGTATTTTTCTCAGAGACAGGTGAAAGGAGCAGCAGCTTTGATCAAGCAAAATGAACTGCAGATTTAGGCATCAGTTTCTCTTAGCCATTTAAACTACTGAGGGGAAAACTAAGAGACTCAGATAAATAGAACCAGTAAAAGATTATCTCTAGTTAAGCTGGAGGCTGCTCAAAAATTGCTCTTATTTTTCTACGCTTCCAAACCTGCTTGCATTTTTCACCTAAAAGTGCCACCCCAACGTAAATGGCTTCCTCACAGAACAAACTGCTGAAGCCATTAAGCAGAAGTTTTTATTTCCCTTTGCTTGATACTAGGTTCCAAATTTATTCCATTTATTCCCACTGTATGTTGTACAGAATGATAAATGCAGGACCAGAGAAATCTCGAATTTTCTACTGTTGGGTTTTTAATTTACTCATTATCTGTACCTTTACAAAACCTTAAACTCAAGCATACACTGTGGTGTGATAGGGAACTGGACCAGAAAAAAACACCCCCCCCAACCAACACTCATTTTTCATCAAGGTGAATGATGGGAGAGGAATCAGAAGTCAGGCTCTTCTTTTGTATAGCTACAGGGTCAAGGACATGGAGCCTCTAGCCAGTGTCACAGCTACTACCGCATTTAAGGAAACCTAGGTTGTGACTCTCAGAAGCTATGGTCACCACAGTGCTCCTTGCTTTCTAAAAATATTTGGTGTGAAAAGTTCTTCAGATTTAGACTTACCACAGCATTCTGTGGATTTGCCTGCTCATCATGCATCTCTCGGATCTCTTGCTCTGTGGATGCATGGACTTGACTCAGTACACTAAACCACTGGCTGTGGAGAGAAAGGCAGCAGTGTAAGTAAAATGTTGCTTCTGCACAAGCCTTTTGTCACCTTTGTTCTGCAGAGATCTAGCAGGTTCTGCAGGTTTTTGAAATTGCTTAAGATTCCTTTTGTCGACATGCATAAAAGCAGCAAGGCTTTATATGTCAGTTCAAGTAATACTGGGTACAAACAAGCCCCTCCAGATCTCCTATCCAAGCTCATGTCATACCCTTCATCCTAAAGACAAATACCTTGTACAAAAAGCAGCATCTCTGAAAAACCGGCAGTAAGCACACTGAAACATCTGAGTGCTTAGAGAGTATTTATAATATATTCCACACATTTTATCTGGAAAAAAATACATTACTAGCTACACACAAAGCCTTTAATGGGAAACCCAACCTTCAGATTGTAAATTCTGCTGCACTGATAGCGTGACTGGTAATAGTTTCTTACAATGATGCTTCTGCAAAGACCACCCAAGTCCATCAAGTCCTCTGCAGAAGCACAACTGAGAGGGGAAAAAGAATAAAACCCCCAAGCAAATACCTCTACATTTTTTTGCTCCCTATGGAGCGCTGAAAAATCCAGCTGCTGGAAGGACCAGTGAAGTTGAACCAGAGCCAATTTGTGCCACTTCAGTAGCCTTGTATATATCCACAACAGGAAAACTGGCAGGGGTTTCCAGTACTTCAGCCCCCAGTGCTGAGCAACAATTGCAGGATTTAATTCCAACCACACCTTCTACTTCTGGGAAATCTCTACCCTCCTGGCACTTGTATATGATAAAGCTCAACTGCTCTAAGCAATCTCACTGAAATCTGAGGGCAGAGTTTGGCCTGTTCAGCAGGTTCCCGAATGCCATTCACTGAGATATGAATTTGCCATTCTAATGAAAACCACCTGGGGCCAAGTTTTCAAAGGGCTCAAAAGCCCAGCCTTTAAAACACACTCCTTACTTTTGTGCAGAGGCTTCACCACCACCACCAGGTTGAGGAAACACATGCAAAACTACTCGCTTTAAATATAAAACTATCTTTCCTGCAAGTGCTTATAGTCACAGAATTTATGCCTATGACCCTGAAGTGCTGCCTCCTTTACTCCCGCATTCACAAGCCAGCTGTTCCTCATAATGTAGATATCTGGAAACCAAACTGCCAGAATAGCTTGAGAAAACCTGTGCAGTCTGTCAAACAGTACCGTCGCTGCCATATCCTAAATCTTTTCTAGCAGCTCATGCTTTCATTAGAAACAATGCAAGGCATGAAGAAAAAGAAAGATTTAGAGTGCCTGACAGTAAAGATGATGAGAACATATTCAGTTCTGATTCTTTTGTTAAGACTCAGAGATACCCACAGCGAGGTTGTGCTTAACACTTCCTTTGCTGGATGTAAGACACGGTCACTGAAAACCCCTCAAAACGAGGAAAGGGTCATCTAAAGAGAAGGAACCTCCAGCCAAAGAAAACTAAACCTCATCTACCAAAAAGATTCTCACAAATCAAATTCAGCTTCCCTTTTTGGGCTCAGGAATTGTGAATGTATTAGAAGTCAATCTTCTGTTTAAAAACAAAAAAAGACTTCATAGCACTGTATGCACAGTTAGTAATAATATATTACTGGATTTTAAAGAACAATTAAGAGTTTTCAGAATTTCACGTAATCTTTGTGTAAACAATGAAAAAGAAAATAATCATGGCACTTAGCAAAAGACAAAGGCAGATTTCACTCTCCTTTTGCTTTCTTCCCTCTCAGGACCTCCTTTGGTTTTCAGCTGAGTCTTAGAACCCAGGAACAGGGAAAAAGACAGACTAGGCGTTTAAAAGGCACAACCCCCCAGCAATGGCTGCCCACTGAAGCATTACTTCTTTCCTCAAATAAACTGCCATGATCCAAACAGTAATTCCTCCTTTGGGGGGGTGTCAGGTTGCTCTTGCTTTTTCCCATCATTTGTACAAAGAGCAACCTCAGATCATGATCTAGCCCATGTACAAAATATTTTTTTCAATAGCAGCTCCAGAAACAAAACAGTCCAATAACTTTGTACTTCACTTTTAACAATGCCAGGTATTAACGAGGCTTTGACTTAAGGCCGTCTGCAAATCCTTACACATGTCCCTCATTAAAGTTTTCTGGGATGACCAAGAAAAAAAAGAAACACAAAATGCACTGGTAAAAAGTATTTAGTCTGGATGGTGTGTTATGTGTACTATACACAACAATAGTCTATAGTGTCTCCTCCACCTTTAAGAAAAAAAATGAAAGACATGCATGACAACAGACAAGTCTTTATGCTGATAATTTCTTATCAGTCCCTAGGGCATGCACGCAAGTCTAACAGAAGAGACTTTAGCTAAGGTGTCATTTTAAAATACACTCACATCATGCAAGAATCTTAACAATGAGTACTGCAAAGCTCATACTTATTTCAAGGGTAATTTTAAGGACGCCTAAAAAATGAAGAATGATTCTGCATTGTAAGCATTGCTAAATTTATACTCAGAGTCCTGTGATATAGGAAGGTATTATACCTTTAAAAAGAATAGAATACGAAGCAACTTTCATGGCTTCAGAGCAAAACTAGCTCAAGTGATGTTGACATAGGCATCCTGCATTCTGGCCTTGGGGCAGCAAGGCAGTGGGTAATAAGCTTTGATTACTAAGTTCCCTTTATTTAAATACTTGATTTTTATGGGCAAGCATATTATTATCTTGCATGTACTGTAGTGTCGGGATTTTTTTTTTTTTTAAAAGATGCACTACAACTGCTCTGACAAGTCAAGCTTGCTTCTCACCTACCAGCCTCAGTTTGGTATGGATCCTTTAGCAACAAAAGCGAGACCCTTTTAAAATCAGCAGAAAGGGAAACACTGTGTTGCACGCTCTTCTTATTTGCGAACACACTTTCACCCTAAAACCCAGTGATCACATTACAACTTTTATCTGAAAAAACTTTAGGCTCTGCTTAGGCAAACAGATCCCAACCCTAAAGAACAGTACTTTACTTCAGGCAGATTACAGGGTCTTAAATATTGATTTAATCTATGCAGCCAAACACAGCAGGGTAATGCACAAGACAAGCATCAATGGCTGATGACTGCTGCTCTACGGACATACTGTATTTCAGAAAGTTGCTAGTGATAAATGGGTAACAGCCAAGTTCTAGGGAAATTTTCATTGGCAGTCTGACTCTTGCCCAGGAATGTTCTGCCACAGATTTTCTTCTCAGCAGGCCTTTCAAAAAAGTGTTAAATGCAATGTGTTAACACAGCCTGAATATTTTGTGACAGTGGGCAAACAAATTAATGACAAGCACAAGTCAGAATGGCATAGAGGTTACAAAGGGAAAGAGAAGAAAAGAAAAAGGCCTGATGATTTTCATACCTTGCATCCTCAGGAGACTCAGCAATTAAGTGGTAGGTCCTATCACCCATTATTAGATCAATACCATTTTCTTTGCCTGTATTATCAACAATCTCTCTGAAAAGAAGAAAACACCAAGATTGAGCATTAGAGATTGTCAACATTTTGAAAATTCTGCTGAGAGACTCACAAACTACTGATACTTCAAATAACAGCAGTCAGCCTTAATCAGGTTCGTTTGCAAGACTCACAATGTGATTGATCAGACAGTATTAATTCACCAAGCTATAGTTGTTCTGTTTTCTGCCTATACAAATATTCAAACTACTATGAATGTCACTACACCAAGTTGACTATTCTGTTATTGTTTTAACAAGAATGAAAGAGAAAGCATTTTCAAACCTCAAGAGAGGCAAGGGTAACTGATTTGACAAACGGCTATACTTCTGAACTGACTGCATACCCAAGTTAATTTTTGGAGTGGTAAAAAGAGAGCTCTTGAAGATTAAAAACAAAAAGCAAACAAAACCTGGATTACTGATTCTGTGTGATTTGAGTCAGCATAAGGACAATTCCAAACATGACTTCCAGAAAAAGCTGAGCACTCATCTGCTGAAAAGTTACATCTTCCTAATTTGTAGTTTGGACATCTAAGTATCAATATATTAAACAATCATGAACCACAAGCACAAGACTTTTAAGGAGTAATTTAAGTATTATGCCAGGTTTTCCTGAAGCTTAAGAAATCAACTGGATTTCATTTTTGCTGTTTTACTGTATTTGCCTGAAGCTTATTATTTCCTTAACTAGCTATACTTCCTTATCAGCTATACTATTCTCATAAATCTCTATATCCTATAAACAATATATGCGAGCTCTGCTTATCAGACTCGTGAGGACAATTTATGTGCTATTAAAGCAAAAAACTGTAATTCTGTACTGTTTTCTTTGATTTGGCTTCCTTCCCTCCCAATAACAGTGTCCACAGAATACCTCCCTGTTTGATGTTTTACGTGAATCAGCCTAAGAGTTATTTAATTTGAACAGGGTCCCTAATATGGAGTGGTGAAATATGTAACTCACATGATATGTTAGGAATGCACTCAGTGAATATTAAAATTACCTAGAAAAGCCGTTACTTATTTCTCATGACGTACAGCTCCTTAAATACAAGTACACTTTCTTTTAGCTGTTTTATACACAAACAGTCATTGACTGAACCTACCGTTCAAGTTAGGTTCAACAACCTTTACCTGACAACTTTAAAGGTATGTTCAACAAAGAACTTCTATAGGGTGCAGTCAATGAAACAATGTGGTGATAGCAGAAGACAACGATTTAAACATATTAGAAACATATGCTAAATAAATGCTATGGTACATGACACAGAGTCACATTCACTTTCAACATAAAAAAAATTGTGGTGGGAACATGAGTCTCTATTCAGAGATTTGCACAACATCCAGCAGCCCATTGGTTTTACAAGAGCAAGTCAGGAAGCTCACTGAAACTATTTACTTTGTCCTGCCTGAAATCAGGCTCAAGCCAGGACTTCCAAAGAAAAGATTAATCTAAGCTTTCAATTTGGTTTAAATACTCTGTTAAATTAACAAAATAAAATGGATAGTTGCAGATTACAAGGAGCAGAGTGGATTCAAGTGTTACAGCCATTTCTATTTTTCTCTACCTTGGAAGAAAGCTTAGGTACGCTTTTATACAGAAATGAGACTACCAACATTAGCACACTAATTTTTAAATTAGATAATCCATAAGTTCATAAAGTATACTGACTGTTCAGAAGGAAAAATACCATCCCTTAGAAAACTTTTTCAATGCATGCTTCAGGAAGCATAGAATTTTAAGGCGTAAGGAACTTCAGTTAGCAAGACATAAGTTATTAAGTTAGGTTTAGTTACTCTATTCTTCTTAAATGAATATACGCATGTTAAAGACTGTTCTACCACTACCACAATTATTTCAAACATGAAAAAAATCATAAATGCATACAGAAGATACAGCTTTGACCCATGCTAACTTTAAATACATTCAGGGCCTATTAATTCCACCCTCTCCATTCTAGGTTTGCCTGCAGCTACGGACTTGGCAACATGCCCCAAACTGCCTTGGGAATCATTACAGACTAAGTAGGGCCTCTAGTCTGGGAGAAAGCATAGATGGGTTCATTACAGCAGCAGTTTTCTGAAGTATTTGTCACTGGCTACTGGCTTAGCTCGGGAGCACTCCGTAGACTTAAGAGAGCGCCAAGTAAGGACAACACTTGCTTTCAACAACTTCATCACACACACTCTCACGCTTTCATTCACACAATTTGAAGGCAGGGCACTCAACATCTTCCCAGATTAAGCCCCGAGAAGTATTTAGGAGAAACTATGGCTAACATATAAACACATATAAACCTACTTGGCTGTTCGGACATCAATGGCACCCTTTAGCTTTTCTTCACTGTCATTTTCAAAGTACATCAACCTGGACTGTCTGAGAACAAACCATCGTTTCTTCCAGTTCCTTCGGGAAAGCGTAGATGATCCACCCCCCTTTTTGTGAAGCCAACCCTGCTTAAGTGCTTCCTGCTTGGAACGAAACCACAGGAAGGTCTCATCTTTCAGGACACACCAGCGTCGCTTCCATGTGTTTATTAAGCCACCTGGCAAGGGAGACAGATGTGGGTTTACATGTAGGTAAGACAAACAATTGTATTATAAAACAGAAGCTGTGACCAAACCAACGCTGGAAGATGCTGACCAGCAATGCTGTACTTAAACTGAGTCTCTGCTGCAAGCCACGAAACCAAAGATCTCATTTTTGCATATCCTTAGGGCCATCAATATTGTTGGCGATCTAAAGACCCTTAAATTATAAATTATAATAAGAGTCTACAGAAAAAAACATATATGTGACATATCTATAATTATATATACTTATATGTAACATATATACATAAATAATAAATTATTAAAAAGTCTTATTGCATATGAGAATCAGATCTTTAACACTGTTTTCAATGTATCTCAATGATAATCTAAAAAAAGGTCAGTGTTAAACTCTTTCCTCTCTCCAGGTTACTAGGAGGTAACAATGATCAACTCAAAACCACAAAACCTGGAGAAGCTATACTTAGAGGAGGAAATATACCAGTGTGAGCTCAGTCATACCAAAGCGTGGCTATACTGTCTAAACTTCTTGCGAGTTTTGTTACGGTAGACAATACACCTTACACCGTAGTTACATCACAGTCATAAAAACCTTAACCAAACCAATATACTGTCATTCCACAAAAATTTATTGCTAACCATGTCAGAAAGTAAAAGCCATGCTAGTGATGACTGTGTTATTTTTCACGCAAACATAGCTGAGTGCACATTCATCACTGTTCCTATTCCAGGAAAATAAGTTACGCTACAGTGACGGGTATCATACAAGGATTAATCTAGATTACAATTTACTATCAAACATCAGAAGATAAACCCAAGAATCTTAACCACAGAACTCCTGTGTATATTCTTTCAGAGTTTCTCATGCCTCTCTGCTACACATACCCTTCTTTGTGTCTTTCGGATCCAAAATGAAAGTCGACTGAGGCCAGTAAAACTGGTCTGCAATGTAGAATGCTGTCTATGTTACAAAGTTTTGGGAGCAGGAATCAGCTTTCCTCAAAATTTGGTACTACTTGAATTCGTGAGTTATTTTGCTATATTTATACTGGCTACTCCATTGTTTATGAGCCAGCAAAGAGGTAAAATGAAACAGAGGCAGCCCAAAATGTTGATGTTCCTTTGCAGAGGGGAAAAACACTGCTAGATGTAAGCCACTGCAAGTAACTTAATTTGAGAGCCGCTCAAATTAAGTTACTCTTCCATCACCCTTTGAAAAATAAGAAAATAGCTTAACTCTACAGGAAGTGGAGTGCAAGGTATAATAAACATTTCTGGTTATTTTGTCTATTTAGCAAATTCTGATCCACCCAGTACCTTTCATGTACAGAAAGCTGTGAAAGTAGGGCAGGCTGACACAGCTATAGACTGAATCCCTCCGGTAGGAAAGCTCATCATCTGTATCAAACCTGGAGTCAAAATCTTCTTCACTGTCTTCAAACTACAGAAGAAAGGAAATAAAGGTGAAATGATCTCTCACTAAAGAGTTTAGATAAAATTGGTTAGAAGTCTGCAGCTAAAACATTTTATGATCTATTGGAAGAACATGATTCCTCACTGCTTTTCGTCCAGCTAACAAAGGAAGGAGTACATCAGAGTAAGCTGCAGCTTGAACTGTTTGATTACACACTAGCCCTAACGTCACGTTACAAATCTACGAAACAGCTTTGTAGCTGCTCAGGAAAGTAATCCCTTTGCAAGAGCATGGCCAGGGTATGCTACTTTGTGCTACCTCCCGCCATCGTTGAAGTGCTCTGGGTAACAGTTTGGGGAAGTCTTGGAAAAGAAACATATTCCACAAGCTGTGGTAATAGCTTTCCTCCACCCTCACCCCAAAGAATCAGAATTTCTGTTCTGTATCTGACACACACCCACAGTCATGCAACAGGAGGGAATCCTCAACAAAGACAGCTAAAAGTGTTCTCCTTTTAGGCAAAACTGTCAACTTATCCCAACAACTGTGATGGCTGTTTGACTGGTTTCCATTACCTCAGCTGTAATAGATATTTTAGTGTTAACATTTTCCTTCCAAATAAGTCAGTGTTGCTAAAATACGTTTTCACCTTTCCCAGCCACACAGTCTCACAGAAGTATTCTGCGAGTGGTTGAGGAAATCATATTCTCCCCAAATTTGTCAGAGTGAAGCCCACAGTACACTCAGTAAACAGCACTGAAAAAGAGCTCTTCAGTACAAGTGTCTGCCTCGCTAATTCTAGTATTTGCCCTCATGTGAAATACTCTCCAAGTCATCTCAAAATACACCTAGCATTTCAGGGACTTCTGCAAGCAGCTTATTCCATACTGTTGCAACTTGCACGCATAACTGGAATCTGTTTTTTCTGAAATCAATTCCCCATGCTATCTGGTGTCCCCGCCTCGAGAAGACAGACACACACAGAGAAGAATTTTGCTTATGAATTGCATCCAAGGCACTGTGCTCCTCACCAAATAACGTGCAGGTCTGCATTAAAACAGATGGAACTATATCCTTGCATAAGCCTAGGACTGCAAGCAGCATCTGAGCTGCCTCTAATTCTAATGCACTCACCCCAGTGGCATCTAGATGGCAACAGACAACTATGTCCATACACGGTCTAAGCAAGTCAAACTACACAACACAGACATTTGTAAAAAGAGCTACCAGTGATTCTACAGCTGCAGAGTGGGGAAAAAAAACCAGAAAGCACATATCAATTATTACATACTAAAACCAATGATACTTACAGAAGACTGAGCTCCTTCAGAGCTAAATCGGTATGCTCCAGAGCTATTGTATGTCCCTACTGAGCATCGGTAGTCCGGCGACCACTGGCTACTGTGCGAATTAGAGAAGGTCACGCTGCTACCAGAAGTAATAGCACCGTCTTCATAATCGTCTTGGTCGTAATCATAGTCTCCATCGGGAGAAATAAGTTCCACAGAATTTGGAGGTCTACACGACACATTTTCTGGCATGCAGTATGTGGATTCACCACTTGAAGAGTTGTGGAGACTGACTGTATCATGGGTAGGAGGTATAAGCATGGTGTTGCTAGCAGCAGGAGTTGCTAGCATCAGGAATTGTTGGCACCACAGTATCATTCATATAGGGATCCTCTTCTGAGGAATCATCGCTTGTTCTGATGCCACTGGTCCTTTGATCAGAATGGCCATGCTCACTTGGGTTGGGTGAATCCTTAAATGCATCATCATCAGCTTCAAAGCCCTCATCTACTTCCTCCTCAGGATATGGCTGGCTGAAGTTAAAATTGGGCTTTTCACTGCAGGCATTTCCAGTCTGTTCAGTCAGCTCAGCAGGATACCCATTGCCCACAGAGAGAGACCGCTCTATGTTTCGGACACATTCATCAATCTCATCAAAGTTCAGAGATTCCAGGAACTCCTGGGCTGCTCGACATGCTTCGTCCTCGAGCCGCCGGAGTTCCTCGTTCCAGCCTCTTTAATGAAGCTTCTGTCAAGGACAGCTCCTGCTGCTTCTTCACGCGCTGCAGGTCTTCAATTTCTTTTTCCAGACGCAGGATTTCTTCCACCTGCCTGCTTTCTTTCTGCTTCTCCACCTCCTGCTTCAGCTCTGCCTCCTTCTGGGCTTTCTGAATGGCAGCCAGTTCCTGCTTCTTTCTTTCTTCTTCAGCCTGCATTCAAAATAAAATAAATATAAAATAAAATATGCCCCCCAGTGCAAGATTCCTCTTTAAAATTTATTTATTTCTAAAGCACTATGCTCCCACTGTGCTGTTCATTTAAAAGGACCCTTATCCCTACATCAGAAAGAAAAGGAAAGAAAAAGAAAAATGAAAGCATGATTACATTTGCTCACAGAAACTGGATAGCTCAAGTATGTGCAGAAAGTTCAATCTTTGCCACAAACTAAATGAAGCATGAGGTGAAAGAAATTTCCATGCGAACAACTGTATCAAGTTTCCTTTGGCTTTATCTGCCAGCTCCTGTAATAAGTTTAGTTTAAATGCCACGGATGCCTTTTATTTTTTTAATGGCTGGGGTGAGATACTCAAATAAACAGGACGGCTGAAAGCAATAAGAAAATCATTTAAAAACTGCTTCTTGCCTTTGTCTTCCCTAAAAGTGAGGGAAGAAAAGAAGTTAGTAAATCAAGCTCAACAAAAGCTCATCACATACCTTCGCTAGGGCAATAGCTCAGCTTACAGAGATCATCTGCCACATGGAAAAGACAGCCAAAAATAAGCTCACCAAGGATGTGTTTGTGAATATGAAACTACCATGATAGCTATATGCGTCTTTTAGCAAAAGCAGCAAAGGTTTCCAAAATCACTTGATCAAGAATAGCCTGAAACAAAGGCTATTCAGAGCAAAATGTAATGTGGCACAGACATGAGAGTGATGTAAACAGCATACTGCACCTTTCTTCCTCCTCTTTTCTTCTTTCCTCCTCCTGTCTCCGCTTCTCCTCTAGTAGCTCCCTGTAAACACGTCGAGCAAGCTGGCCTCGCCGCTGCTTCTGAAGGATTATGGCTGCTTTCTTCAGGCACAGGAACTTTTTTCTACCACAGAATGCTCTGTAGTTCTTCTGTATCACAACCACATAGTACAGAATCTTTCTATACTGCTTTCTGGGAGGAAAAAAAAAAAAAAAAAGCAAATTTCTAAGGAAACAAGGAACTAATGAGCAGTTGTGAGAGGTCTTGCCATGGTGACCTGCAATAATGAGCCCATGGCAGTAAACCAATTTATTGTTTCTAGCTCTGTGATTGTTTCCCCATTCTCATTCACATTCTCCTCCCTAAGAGAGGAAAGAGATTCTCCCATTTCTGTGACAGTTCTGTCTGTGTCTTCATTAAGGAAATGCACATTACTTGTCTCACATTTTCTTATGCCCCTGACAAGGAGATGCTGAAAGGACAGTTGTGTGTGTGTGCGCATACATGCAGAGAAAGAATATACATAGACAGTCATCCCACATCTCTGAAAAGGAAGATCATGACCAGCAGGACAGCTCTGTCATTAAAAAAGGAATACAGTTTTTAAGTAACATACTAGTCAGAATATAAGGACAGGACTAATATACACATGAAGAGAAATTACCTCATTATGCAAACAAGTTTCCTTAAACTGTCCTCAACTGATTTGTAGAAAAAGCAGAGAAATGAACAGATGGGATGAGCAATACACAATGCATGAAGCCAGGTAAACAAGTGGAACATTAATCAGTTACCTAATGTCATGGTTCTTTAAGAACCAAGCTGATTGGTTTTATTTGCCTTCTCTTTTCTCACTGTGACAAAGCAAAGATAAAGCTGAATCTCAGCTGGTAACTTGGGACGGCCGCACTAGGCGCCATCCAGTTAGAGTTCCTACCATGGATCTAATGCCATGATACAATGATATGGATGCTGGCTGACTTCCAAACTTCCATAATGTCCTATTCATTATATTAAACCAATTCAAACTCCATTTTGTTTTATTCATGGGTCTGGCAAAGATACCAGCTGTTTTTTTCACAAGCCACTTACAGGATCTGGATGCCTGGTCCCTAGGAAAAGTTAAGAATTGTGCCAGAAGGATTTAACTCCATGATACCACAGCCATTTATTCCAAAGCTTAATTATCAATATTCTGATCTAGTCACTTACCGGGCTGCATAACCTAAGATGTGCGCTCGGATAATCATTGCTGCTTTGGTGACTTCCACCTCTCGCTGTTTCTCCAACTTGTGTTCCAAGGACTCCCGGAGAAACACCTAGATAAGAAAACTTCTGGCTTAGTAACTTGCGGAGAACATCATATATAAAGGACAGCCAGGGTGCTGCTGATGTCAGTCCAAGCAGCAAACCTCAGCTTTGAATTCAGAGACAAACATACCATTTCCTGAACAGAAAAGAAAAAAACAAAACGTATTCCTCTTAAAAGAAAATACCTGCAGATGATCCTCTAACTTTGGACTTCAGTGGGAAGAGCCTGATTACAGTAATGGAAAGTTTAATTAGGAGCAGGGTTTTTCCAAAAGCAACTTAATTACTGGATTAATTAAACAGCCTTTCCCACCAAAGAGTAACACAGGCCAAAGAAGTTCTAGGACTTAGCATGAACTTCCTGAATTGAGAGGCAGAAATACCACCCTGATAATTTAGCTGTTTCACAGTAACATCAAGCTCCACAACCCCTTACAAGCCTCACTGCTTCCAATGACCTTTCTGTAAGCCTGCAGAAGTAAGCAGAAATGAGAGTGGTTTCATATTCGGGTTGACTCGACTGTGTTTTCCTGTTGTTACACAGGGAGACAGCTGCCAGGGCCAGACACCCCACCGCAGCCGTCCACCCTCGTGCGACAGACCGCTCCCCAGGCGCTCACCCCAGCGCTAGCTTGGACCATTCGCCCGGACTGCCTAGTGCCTCTTAGAGGCAGCTTTAGCACATGGCATTGACATATACTGAGCTAACCCAGCTTATTTTGCCTTAAATGAATGAAACTGCTTCTCCAGCCAAGTAGAGGCATGGGGGATGCAGCTTCCCTCTTCCACCTGCCTCGACGTCTGCTCTTTACCGCAGACTCACGAAGTGGTGAACTATCTGCTGCCAGCGCTCTTTCCAGGTCATCTCCACTTTCCCTTTTTGGAGGCTAAGTCTGCTGGTATCAGCTATAGGTGGCAACAGCCTGCCATGCTGCTGGCTAGGACATGAGCAGCTGGAAATTCAGTGACACTTTCATTATCTGGGATGAGAGCCAGGCTGCACATCACAACATGGCAACGAGGAAAGTGCATGGATAGCGTAGGCTCTGCTAAGGGAGGAGGGCTGCATCTAAAAGCAGGAACGCTTCCTTGAAGTGTTTCGATTTTTTTCTTGCTGTAAAAAAAAAAAAAAAAAGGACAATATGGACTTTTGGGTGTGTTCAAGTAGAAAAAAAGGTAGTTTCTCACTCTGTGTTTAGGGGAAAAAAAGCCCATCATCAAAGCCAAAGCAGCAGCACTCCTGAGAAGAGGCACAGTTGTCAGTTTTGAATGTAGCTAGAAAGGGACTACATTTTACCACAAATTACCCAACATTACGGAACACAAAAAGTCTCACAGAAAGTCCCAAAGTTCCAGTATTTGAGTTGCACGGGTCAGCTCTTTCTATATAACGCTTTGACTCATGGAAGAAGCCTTTTCTTTCACCCAGTGGGCAATCTTTCTTTGCTCCACACACACTGGCTTTAAAAACACACCACAATTCTGCTTCAGAAAGGCATTCAGCTACTTCCTGAACAAAAATGGATGTTAAGCACATGTTAAGCCCAGGCTAATGCCTTTTCCTGAGCAGGTGCATTGCAGCTTGAGATGTAAAAGACAAGAAAAATTCACACTGAAGCTAACTTATTGCAATGTTGTTACTACCCCTTTTAAATAGCATGGGCAGGATAGTGCCCCATCCCGTCTTCAGTCTGAAACCAATGCCCTCTTGTTCTCTTCTACAATAAGCTGTTTATGAAGACTCTTACAAATGTGCAGGCAGCTCCTGGGGGGGATGAGCCCAGGCCCCAGTAAGGGAAATTACAGCAGAGCTCTGACTCCTGACTAAGTCCTGATGAGCAGTTGGTTAAAACAATTTTGGGTTCTCACAAATGTATGCCCCCTAGATGCCAAAGCACTGTCCGGGGTCTGTGTATAAATACTGCTAATACGCTACATCTGAAAGTATAACAAGAAGCACAGCCTAGCTCTGTGGGTGAACGTTATCATTGTATTATTTGTAAGCCATCGTCTACAAAAACGGGATGTAAGATGACTTCAATTGCCATCAGAATATTTCAGATTCTATCTCTTCCAATAACTGTAAAATTATTAAATCAACTTTCCCATAGCATCTCCGAGATTCCCTAAGGGTGCAGAGGAATGGAGAAACCCTTCAAAACTATGCAGTTGTGGAGACGAGGAGGAAGGGCATTCCACAATTCTAACAATTGACAGGAAAACTGCAAGTGTAACACATAATTCAGCAAACTTTACTTCTGCATCTGTTTTTTGTTCTCCCTCCACTACGGAAGCCCTGGGAGCGCCAACAGCAGTTACCCAGAGAAAAAAAGAAGAGAAAGCCATCTGCAGAGGCCTGGGGGATGATCCTTGGCAGTGATGGGCTGATGTTTGTAATCCACTCTCTAAGTACTTTGCACCAGGCTTTTTTAATATTTAGGAAATCTCAGATCCTACAATGGGGAATCTTCTCCTGAGTACACAATACTTTCACATCATTTGTTAAGTCCAAGAGCACAAATTTGCAAGAAGGAGGGAAGGTCTGCACACAGTAGTTGTCCAAAATCAAACTTGCAGAACGAGCATGCAAAACCACCTGGATTGTTTTGTTTCTCAAATTAAAATTCCATTCTTTTAATTAAAATAATTTGAATTTTTTTTTGGAAGAACAAAAGTTGCAAAAGTTCAGATTGTCTGGTAGGACACATATCGAGGTCTAATGTAGCTCTGAAAAACTCTCAGACTAGACTGGCAAACACACTTAGAGGTCAACTCTGCTACATGAACACTGGCTAAAATTCCTCCTCTGATTTCAGCCACTGAGCAGGTATCACACAGATGGGTTTACTAGTATCAGTGGAGCTCCTTGCAGAAAAAAGTGTTACCTCACGTGCTCGATACTTCTAAAGATGGTAAAACGCAGCTACCATGTTTTAAGTTCTGATCCTCACCAGCACCATCACTTGTGAGCAGTGGCAGGAAATTCCAGTTGACCCTTTCTCCTTGAGTGAAATCACCAGTCAGTGTCTAAGTGCCTTAGACAGAAAATTCCTCAGCACAACCATTAATTGTTGGTATAAGGGTTTCAAGAGCACCAATAGGCATGTGCAGCTTCTTTTAAGGCCCAAAGTAATTATCATTACAACTATCCCTCTGCAGCTGTGCAGTCTAAATCCTGTCCCCTCAGCTTTGTATAAGCAGCAGCCCCACAATATGCACAGTCAGTTTATTTTACCTTATTTTTTCCAAGCTGCCATTCAGTGCTTGTGTTGTCATACAGATGAAGTAGGACGGCACATTTCTCATTTAGATCTTCAGGCAGAGTTAAGTTTCTCATAAGGACTTTATACCTGGCAACCAAAAAGTATTTATTGCTTCATTTAAGAGACAAGTTCTATTTTTGCCATATGCTTTTTTTGTTATCAGATTTTCACTTTATTTGTCAACACAGAAACATTGATTTGGTACCCATGACTCGCATCTGAAGTGCACAAATCAGTGTATTTACCTTTTGTAAAAGTCTTGAAAGGGCCTCCGGACCGGGAAGCCAGCCCTCCGAATCCTGACTGTTTCCAACATCCCAGAATAGCGCAGCTGGTTAAGCACCACCGTCTGATCAAACTGGTCTGGCATCTAAAACGAGCAGGTTCAAAACAAGGATTTTAATAGCAATGGTTAGAGATGTCAGGGGAAATAAAGGGAAAATTATATGAATCTGAAATGCACAAAGGCTAAAAATTAGCTACTCAGTGTTTTAAAGGACATCAGCAGTACAGAACATAAAAATATATCGAAATAAAAGGGTAATGACACAATATAATTTCCATAGACACAACATTTACAGCTCTTTAATCCAATCAGCTATCTTTTTCCATTTCTTGTATATTCACAGGCCACTGCTGTGCAGAAGAAACGACAGAAAGAACAGGTAGCTAATAGGTCAACAGCTACAAGCTTTGACCATTTTGTTTCTTTAGCAACTGAATTTACAGTCCCGGTAGATGATTCCAAATGTTGAAAATACACAAACACAGTAGTGTGATACAATTTTAGAAAAAACAAAACCAAAAGGTCAGAAAAGATTTAAGTTTTAGTGTAGTGACACTTCATCTACTATGGACAGGGATGGAAGTTTGCCAATGCTACCTCAAATCTTAAATAAGCTGTATTTCAATAAATTTCTATTTGCTGCTATTCTGAACAGCAGAAATATTTTAATCTGTAAACAGAAAAAAACCCGTGCTTGTCTGAACTAAGTTTCCCTTAGTTTGCATGCAGTTCTTTCAGCATCATTTTCCATTTAGAAAACAGATAAGCCCAGCTACTCAGTCATGAAAACCTGTGAATGCCCATCAGTATGTTCCTGCCCCCGGGAGCCTCGGCAATCCTGTCGGCAATCCTATCGTCCCATAACACAGAGTCCCCCGAGCCACCTGTGCTCTGACCACGCTTTGAGGTAACCCAGCCACAGCCACACAAAACTACTCACGATAGTTGATAGCAAAGTTGAAGATGCCCCATCCCTGGAAACAGTCAAGATAGTGCTAATCACTACCTTGCAAAACGCCGGCAACCCTGATACTGAAATAACACCACATGTAAATACAGCATTTAATTCATCAGCCCAAAAGTCCACGTAAACACACCAGCTGACCATCCTACAGAGTCATTTGCAGGGCTGGAGTACAGTGCTTAGTATTTTGCAAGAAGAAGTTTGGAAGGCGAGATCTCATAGATAGAGTCAACAGTTTATAAAAGATCTGAAGTTCTTCAGCTGATAGAAATGACAGCAAAATGAAGCCCTGAGCAACTGTAAATCAGAGGACTTTCTTGGTATTTATTAACTGGCTTTAATCATGCCTCTTGTTCAACTTAGCAAATAAATGACTCCCCAAAATTTTAACTTCTCAAAAGTAATTTCAGGAAAGCACAGACTCAAAAGTTAATTAAAAATATCTAGCCTAAATTTTTCCATCAGTGCCTTTATGCATAAAACAAAACACTGTGTGCCAGTGATAACTCAGATTAGCTAATTAGGTAGATTCAAGAGTATTGGCAGATCACCTTCTACCTCCTTCCTTTAAAAGGCAGAATGTCTAAACCAAAACGATGCTATTCTTCCTTTCATTAATTTCTTTTCTGAAGCTGAGGTGGGAGACTTCTGTGTAGGTGCAGCAGCCCTTCTACACCGACCTGTCAGAGCCGCACGGGCAAACGCCTCCCCAGCACTCACCGTTCCTCCGACAGCGAAAGGTCTTCCAACCCCTTCCTTCGGTACCGGGGCTAAAATTCATATGGAAAAACACCACAGCTTGGCCCTACCTCCACAGTCAATAGCACTGAACAAAAATGAAAACAATTCATGTTTTAAAAAGTGGCTGGTCACCATGGTGAGCCCTGCCCTGCCTGGGGTCATTAGCGTTGCGTGCCGGCAGGACCTGATCCAGCCCGAGCAGGCGGACGGGGGCTACGGAGAAATTCAGCCACCACCAGCAGCTGCTTTTGCCTTCCCTGCGAGACGGGTGCTTTGCATCCCAGGGAGACTCAGGAGCTACATCCACTCTGTGCCACTCTGGACGTTGTTACATTAATGGCTCCGTTACAAATACATACCTGCATGTATAAAAAACCTAATGTTCCAGAGGGGGGAAAAATGCCTTTGCAAATGATGCAAACTCCCTCTTTTTTCTCAATGACGTGTTTTATTTGCATTTTGCCACCACTAATAAAATACACCACAAGCAAAATCTTTGTATTTTACTGAACACACAGTACGAATGCTTACAATAAAGGTATCGATACTGTCATGACTGGCATTGCCAACAGTGTTTTCCACACGCGCACAACCTATGGCAGCCAGGTGTGCTCGGGTACTAGCCTTGCAAAGCTGCCCTCCGAACGTCCGTGCACACATCTGCCTGCCTGTTTCTGTGCAGGTGGCGGATGATGCCGACAGGAACGGGAGGGAGTGAACACAGATGCACACACAAATCCCGAAGAAACATATTCACTTTTTGCCTTGTGTAACCCAAGGCTGATGCCTACCACAAGCGGACACAGGTCAATACATCTTTTGTCTTTGACACTACGCAAGCTTTTAGTCCTTTTACCGCACCCATACTCATTGGCTCAAAAGGTGACGTTCTTCGCAAGACTTGCAAACAAAACTATTGCCGGTGCACTGAGGTGGGGAGGCAGATGCATGGATAGGAGTGGGGATACACCAAAGCCAGGCAAAATTGGGACGTTTCTCTCACAAGGCAGCCTCTCAGTTTGCAAGGGAGCACCTCCTCCTTTGAGAGCCAGATGGCTGCTGCACCACCTAAACCTTTTATTGCCAGCCCTAGGCACTTACAAAGTCAAAAGTCAGCCACACGGACTGGCTTGAAAGCTCATGTTACCGCCATCCCTGTTTCAAGTCCAGAGGAAGAAGCAACATTTTCATGACCTTTTGCCAGGAACTACAGAAGTTAGAAACAGCCCTGCTCTGTCACCAGAAGCTGGGATTGCCACACAGTCACCTAACTTCAGAAGCCTGCATTTTAAAGAAAAGCATGAAACACTGCCAGGAGACGTTAACACAGTATCACAGCAGGGCAACATAAAGACCATCACAATTTTAAGTACCTAAGCATACTCCTTCACTTTACATTACCAGTAATTTTTAATGACTCACAGACACATGAGGCTACCAAATTGGAGGGTCAAATCCTGTCTTGGCATATCACCGGAATTACATCTGCAACATGTGTGGCTGCTTTGGGCAAACCAGGGATGGTGGTAAGAGATGTGCTGGACTCCTCTTTTACACTTTGAATACCAAGTACCAGAAGATACTCACCATCACCTGGGGGTTTTTGACTGAGCCATCACAGCAGCTCTCCAGTCCTCACCAGTGAGGAGAGCTGCAGCCACTCAGAGAGGCAGCCGAAATCCTAAACACTAAAATGCATCCATGGTTTCCCATGTCTAATGAAAACAACCAGAAGAAGTAACAAATGCAGTGCTGTGCACAACACCACAGCATCCAGCATACCCACCTTACGACTTGGCGATACATTGCACCTCAGGTAGTTTTACTGTGTGGATGAAGAGGATTTCAGCCTTAATTGTATAAACACTTGCAGACAGGGATAACCTTAAGCATAACTTCCAGTCAGCAGGACTCCTCATACTAAAATTATTGAACCAGAGTGCAAGTACTGTATATACCCCACTACTGAACTGCAGACACTTCTAAGACAGAGAATGATGACCATCTCCACAGAATGATGCTCAGTGCAGCACTAAGGAGTTAAACCTGCAATAGTACAAAACCTCCATGCAGAGGGTTACCTATGCAGCTGATGCTCAGTCTTCTATCTTTACTGGTGCTCCTTCAGACTCCCTGTGGTAAGCAAGCTAACTTTCAGATTTATACCAAAGCAACACAGGTCAGGACTCAGCTCGGGGGTCTGCTAAATTTCTACCAGTGTTGCTGTAAAAACTGGACTTGTTTCACGAATGAACACTTGGGAGGAAATTGTATTCTGTAGGAAAATTTCAGATAGGCAACAGAACCATAACTGATTTTAAACCAACATGTCTTCCAAAGTAAAAATTTGAATTAATTGCTAAAAGAAAGACTCCTGCAAAGTAAGATCAAATTTATAAAAGAGAAGGCAACAGAAAAGGAAGTCAACTGATAGCTTCCAAAATTGTCTGAGAGATGTAATCAACTTCCAATCAACTCAATTTTCAATAGATATTTCACTTTTATTAAGGAATGGCAGCATTAAACCACTCTGACACGCAAAATCACCAGACAACAGCTAGATTCGCATGGGTCACAGCCACGTTAGGGCACTGAGCAGCATCAATGAGAAATTAATAGCTACAGGTCAGGTCTGTCTACTTGATAAAGCTGGTTTTTGTGGTGCACTCTTTCATATCAAAACTTGTAATTTATCATTTCATGAATCCAAAAGTCTTCACTGAATTTGCACCAGACAGCACTGAAGCCAGAAGGCTTTAATGTGACCTGCAGTCTCTGCTGGCGAGACTCTGGCTCCTTAAGCTGCTAAATGCTTGCTATGATCTCTTGTGAACCTCCTAAAGGGCAAAGCTTCTGCCTGAAACCACAATTAGAAGCAGCCATTAGGACAGACATCTAACACCTATGCATAATTTTCATGATAAAATAGCTCCTTAGATTACAGCCTGACTGAGGCTCAAAAACCCACCATCCCTTTTCCCTGGACAGCACCCTTAGTGCAGACCCCAAGCATCCGAGTAACGCACACAGAGAACACATTTTTTTTCCGTGCATCATTGGCTCCATTCAAACAGAGAGGATACCTGACTTCTCCCCACGGAAATCCTTCTTCCTCACTGAACTACTGGCTGCCTCAGAAGAGTACAGGCACAATAATGACAGATTACAGCAGCCTCACCGATTTTATGTAGGCAGGAGGAACTTCACAGAGAGATTGGGGGGGGGGAGAAGAGAGAAAGGGAAAAAAAAAACACAGTCCCTTGTTTCTAGATTTCTCTGTGAGAACTTGAGTAAGACTATGTCAGCTTTGCCACTGTGTCTTAAAAGTGTTGATTTTCCTGGCTTAAGAAAGTATTTTGTGGAAGACAGGTACACAGAAAGGAAAGATGAAAAACAGATAAGAGGATGTGAAAAAGTAATTTATTATTTAAAAACCCATAACTTTTCTCAATGTCTTAGTTTTTTAAATCTGCTCTTTTACTCCTAAAATGAAGTCTTGGCAATTTTACTCTGGAGAAAAGCAGCAGAAATTAAAAAGAGGTCAGTCTTCCCTTGCTTTAGAGTGGGTTTTGAACTTGTTTTCAGATCCTAACATGTGCTGGTATTTCTTCAGAAATAGGGGAACTTACTAAACCAGATCTTTCTGAAATAGTCCCCTTGGTCTTCTGATCTCCGTTACCAGTTCCGTAAGTCAAAACCAATGCCAGGCTTTCCTCCCAGACAAATTTGAAAAGTGTGAATAAATTAACTTCTAATATATAATCTAGCTGAACTGATACAAAAATTTCTACATGCCTATTGTTTGCCTTTTTTAAAATCACGTTACTCTCAGCAATTCTTATCCATACATACTGCTCGGCAGCCTTTACTCATGCAGAGGATTCAAGCCAGTAACCTGAAAGAAGCGAAAGGGAAATGCCTGCACTTGCAATAGGAAAATGCACTGCAAAGCCAGGATGGGCAGGGCGGGGGCAACCTCCCTGTCAAATCCAAAGACTTTAACTGCAGTGTGCCATGCTGGTCACCCTCTTACCTCCAACAAACCATTTCACCCCCTGCTCTTCTAGCCATCACTTCTTCAGTCGCTTGCACCATAAACGTCGATGGCATTAGCTTATTCAACAATTTCAACCTCAAAATTGCTGCGCTTCCAACACAAGGAGCATGAAAAACTGTATGGGTCCTGTCCAAGGACCTGGAGCTTCAAGTCTGACTGACCTAAGAACATGCGTATTTCAAGGAAAGAAACCTTCTAAGGTCTTCTCCAGCATGCAGATAGCTGTAACTGGAACAGGTTCAGGTTAGTACACGGGCAAGTTTGATGCCTGCATTGCTTCTGAAGACATTCCCTTACTGTCCCAGAGTATTCGTGTCCACACCGACAAACACCAGAAGAGTACAGGAGAATAAAAACAAAGAACATACCACAGCTAAAAAGTTTATTTGCTTTTTCTACTGTATGGCACTGGCAAGTCAAGGAATATCTGGATAAACCTGAAACAACAGTAAGTGTTTTGCATGTCCAAAGTTCTCCTGGCCTTTATCCACACACCCACCCCAAAACCCCATACAAAGCCTTTAAAAATTACTAATACTGCTGGTGGTAACTTGCTAGAAAAAGAGCGTGGGTATATTGCAACAACACTTGTGCCTCAAAAAAATTCTGCTGCCAACTCCAGGCCGGATTTCACTGCAAACTCAGTAATGATATGCTGGCTCTTCTACACAATCTCTACAGGTCTGAACCTGAAAGTACTGCATTCACCGACAGCAAGCGTTTACACAATTAGCTGATCGGCTCTTCAACTCCAACTACTGCATCTGACCTGCGTGACTCATCCTCCAGCCCTGAGTATTTCAGATAAGAGACAGACTTCAGAATTAGCCACTCTCATGCCACAGGTTAGAGTTGCCCGTGCTAAAAATAACAGTGTACAGAAGGAACACTGTAATTTTAGAGTTTTTCCACTGTACCAAAACACTCAAAGGAGGAGACTCAAAAAACAAATACGAAAATGCTTTTGTATTTATATTCAGCCTGTCCTACAGCTTACTTTGCAAGCAAGGACATCTCAAGGGTGTTTTTAAGACGACAACCCTGAAGCAGTACATTACCACACTGACCATTTGCATAACTGTTTAAAGATTTCAACTAGGTCAGGACACTGCTGAGTTAGGTCCATCTACAAAGCTGCTGTAGTCATATTTCAGGTCCTGCTTGTCTATATAACAAAGATAAGAGCTGGAACTAGCTTCATTGTTGGAGAAAAGATGCTCAAATGACTCTGACCGGCTTGCTGCGATTTCACACTTTCGTCAACAAGGATCAATAAACTCACAGTCCTTGAGCTATTTAATCTACTTTTTATTAGTTATTGTCACTGTACTCTTGCATTTCAGAGTAATCTTCTTTTTGTTTGGTTTGTATGGACTAAACGCTACCCCTGAGTAAAGACTTAACAGCCTCTTTGCAAACCTTCCTTTCTAAAGGTATACAGAATTTCTTCTAAAGGAAGACAGAATTTGTCTACCTCTCTCATATAAGCCCAGAGGAATGCTACCTCCTCAAAATGACGGTTTAATTTCTCAGACACTGGTTAAAACATCATGGAATAGGAATAGATTGTTAAAGGCACAGGCTTGAACACTGGAGATATCCAAGTGTTCTAAGCCCATGCTTAGAGCTATCTGTGTGATTGCCTAAATTTTCAGCTGAAGTGAGCCCTTGTTGCTTGAATACATTATTCAGGGAGTCCATTGAAATGCACAGCAAATCTCAGGGGCTGTTTGTCCCAGCACAGCAACTGCAGGACCAGCCATGTGAAACAGACAATTAAGAGCATTTGGGAAAAGAGGGATTTAAGGTTTGAAGCCACTCTGGCAGGGTCTCAGCATACTGACAGAAGGTGCAACTCGCAGCATGGACCCCAGCTGGAACTTTTCATGGACCCTCCTTCTCCACCTGTGAGTAATCTGTTGCCGTTTCATCTGAGGTCACCCTCACTAAAGCCTCCAGTCCCTGCAGACTAAACCCCAATCTGGCCTCATTCTGCCCACATTGTGACGGGTCAGCAGCCTTCTCCTTGAAGAAAATCAATCAGGCTGCCTGATAGCCACAAACATACCATGAAGAAACATGCTGTGAGGTACTAA